GCGCCTCCATTTGCTTCCAAGGGCAGTTTGAGACACAGGTCTGATGCACTGGCGCATTTGACGCTACTTTCAAGACAAACGTAAACAGATTGAGGGGACTTTAGTAGTGTCAACATAGCATTAGCTATAATAAACGGATGTCCACCTGCTTCGATCATGGTCACGACCATGAGCACATTATGGGAGCGCAAACACGAGGCAAAAATGCGTCTGAATTGGACACGATCGCGGGTTGTTTTGTTTTTTGTGCGTTTCCGAACCACCCGCCTTGCGCCCGTTATTTGAGTGGCAACTTTAGCGCAGCACGCGCTTAAAATCGTTTGAATATTCACTTATACAGTTGTTTTGAATAACGTTCATCAAGTTCATTAGTTAAACGAAACTTTTATTTGCAATAAATTAAAATAGGATCATTCTTTGGAAGCCGCAGGTTCGCTGTCCGCACATACCTTCTGGAAGGAGTGGCTAAGTAACGTCAATGCTTTAACCTGCCGTTGTTTTGTTTTGTTTTTTTATGCGAAAGCATTAACTGTTTTATGGAGTCAACCGGCGTAATCAGCTTTTGATGTGGCGCCAAGCGGCACCTAAAATTCGCTGTCCCATGGAGCGAAGCCTGAAGTCTGTAACAACGAATATATGCATGCATTCCTATTGGCTCGCACGTGCCATAGTTTCAAGGAATGCCAAACAACCGAGAAGCGCTCTCCATGATTCAGCGGCCCGACCTCCGTTAAGAGGGAGTGGGTTGCCGGGCTCTGCAGAGCGGCCGGCCGCTCGAGCTCCACCAGGTTCCCGCTACCATCGCATAGCTTTTGTGAATGGCCTGAAGACCGAATGAAATTCTGCTCGCTATTTTCAGTTGCGAGGTCCCCCGTGCTGCAAAATAATTGTAGACGGAAACTGCGGTGCTCGATGTCGAAACGCGTAGGCTGTCGAAACAGATCATTTCAAGCAGAAGCGGATCATGAAAATCAGACATAACAAGTCGGCGTTTTCTACCATTTACAATGTTCAGCACCATCTTGTATTTACTGTTTACACTGAGTCAATTCAGCCTGAACATTCATTAGATTCATAAGTCTTTAGAGGCCTATGACTATTTTGTTTCGCAATTATCGTGAAGACAGCGTGCCTATACCTTCATGTGCTCTATGGTTCGTTGTCTTTTAAAAAGGGAAGATTTTCTACGGTTAACGTAGCAGCTTGGGCGAGTTGGTTGCTCATTTTTACACACACTACAGGGCACTATAGCAAATAACGCTCGCTCCTTACACACGAAAAATAAAGCAAAATTAAAACAAACCGCACTGACTAACAACTCGTTTTTACATATACTTTGTCTTCTTCTACCTCTTGCACTTCCGAATTTGCCGAATCACGCTAAGCGATCTCATGGACGCTTAAACTTCTTAGGGGTCTAGGAGATTGGTGTCGGGAAATTCGGTAGTGAGAGAGATAGAAGAAGAGAAAGTATATATAAAAACGAGTTGTTAGTCAGCGCGGTTTGTTTGAATTTTGCTTTATTTTTCGTGTGTAAGGAGTGAGTGTTATTTGCTATAGTGCGCTGTAGTGTGTGTAAAAATGGTCTAAGGTGTTTTGCCGTTTGAACGTGAACGTGCACACGGCCATAGAAACGTAAAGACACACTGAACTTTGGATGATCCGGACCGCTTGGCGGTTTTTCCGCGTACATGTTCTAAAAATAAAAATAGATATTGTGATAAGAATTTCTCGTGAGCTAATAATAATAATAATAGTAATAATAATTCTTATTTCCAGACATACCTCTGCATGAGGGGCTGTGGCAAAAGCATGCGAAAGGAAATTCGGCACAGACACTTGAGATTGCTTACGTGTGGGAATGTGAAAGCATTGTAGTCCCTTTGGTGGAAAGATTTCGATTTAGTTTTTCTACATGCGTTATTTTTGCTGATTCGGTGTGTGGCCAGCGGGAGAAAGCCCGCTCATTTTATACCCTCATGACGTGGCGCCACCTTCTCCCCATTGGCTGCGCCGTCACGCGCCCAATGACGCACTTGGCCGCACCTTTAGTCAGCCAGATGGTTGCGACGTGACGTGTGCAATGACGCACGCATTAGGCACACCTTAGTCAGCCAGGACCTTGGAGCCGCCGTGGAGTAGGGGAAGCCTGCCCGTCTGCCCCCCCCCCCCCCCCCCCCCCCCCCCGCAGGCCAGGGTGCGATTCCCATTGAGACTGAAATGTACTAAAGTTTCTTTCCAAAGCCATTCATTTACTTTGTTTATGGGAACCTTCGTGAAGATTGTAACGCCAATACCAGCGTTTCTACCTTGTTTTTACTCTTTGTGGCGTCGGCCATTTTCGGTACGATCGCTTGGTCATGCCGCCGACGCCGACGCTGGATTTTCGGGTATTGGTGCAAATAATCTTTTCGCTCTAATGAGTCGCCTGTCCACGCCATCATCTCTTTTTTACAGCATTCAATGGTGTACAGGACTGGTGTCAGCATCATAAACAATTATACATTAAATAATCAAATATACATTATTTGAGCGCCGTATAGTCACAGAAATTAATATCAACTTCATCAAAAGTTTCAAATAGAAATCATTCACATCGACATCATTGATATCACAATCATTAACATACAATGTCAGCGCTACTGTAAAGTTCTTCATTTCTCTACCATTCAAACAGAAATAACAAATATATGTATATATATATATATATATATATACATAAAGATACATGTAAGCCGTTGGTATATTTTTTTCATCATCAAATTACCAATAAATTTAATTATTAATGAAAAAATATCAAACGCACCATAAAAAAGAACTTTGAAATCTGCTACCCACTCGCCTAGCAAATTTTAAGCTTAGGTCACTAGGGCTAAAAAAAGTGAAAACCAATTACAACTCCCTGTAACACTGAATTAGAGCGCAGCTCTTGAGGAGGAGAGGGGAAGGGTACTGAGGAAGTTGGTCATACGGGCGCCTAAGAGCTGCGCTCTAAAATACACTTTTACACTTTTCTTGAACTTGCAGAATCTTCGACCTTGGCCTACCATTTCAACAATATTGGAGTGATTATTTATAAGGTCAGATAATTGGTAATTAAGTTTAATCGAACTACCATCAAAGCGATGAGTTATATAGGGCACCCTTCTGAAGACCCGTCTTGAAAAAAAAAGTCTGCTATGGCTTGTTTTATTATATGTCAAGATGCAGTCAAAGACTATAAGATACACAAGCACAAACACGCATACTAAAAGCGCACGGCCATGGTGCATGGTTAGCGCTTGACTGCTTTGACCGGGGGTAAAAAACGCACTATAAGGCGCTGAGCTCCGTGACAGTGTTTTCTGGCTCTGCTTGATTGGCCTCATTAACAGCTGTTATGTCGGCTGCGCTCTGACTTAGGCGAAAATGAATTTAAACATTTATGTCGTGCAAAAGCTCTTTCAATCACGAAATGCTGACGAGGCATGTCTTATATACGTTCTTTAACGTTTGATAACATTCTTCACTGATTGACTAACTATGCTTTTAATTCTTGAATAGTTAAAACGATAGCTACTAGCTTGCGAGTCTTTAACGGAATCGCTTTGCCAACCCTGCAGCTCGGAACAAAGCCAGTATCAAAGAACAAATTTTGCCCAGCTAGGCACTCTCGATCGAGTCGATGAGCTAGCTGGGCTCCGCTTCTGTGCAAAGTGGGCACTGCTAGCACCACTACCACGTTTGCTAGCATTTCTGTCAGCGGGAGCACGCGCAGAGCGCTGAACATGCACGGGCGAGCAGCAAAAAGGAGGAAATTAAGAGCAGAGTAGGAACATGAGCGCCACAAGCCTGTTTTCTGGCAATACGGATGAGTGCCGCCGTCTAGTGTTTGAACAAATGGCTTGTTCAAGATGGCCGCCGTTCAGTGGCGAGCGAACTCAAATGGAACGTCTAGAGGCGGCGTGCTGGTGCCTATCAAAATATCTGTCACAGGATGATTGATATAAACAGGAGTACGGTGGTAGGTCTGAAACGCATACGTAATTTTAGTTATCCTTGAGCATTTTCTACATTGCAACCAAGCGCATTTATTGCAGTCAACCATCTACAAAGAAGAGAGCGCAAAATAAGACACTTTACAGCCTTCCTATCTTCGAAGGCTGAAAAAAAAAAAACAGAAATTTAGTTTCAGGTTTGAATGTTTATTTGCATACACAGCATTAAGCGCGGTAAAATTTTGTAAAAAAATGGCGTAAATCATAGTCCTGAAAACATAAAAAAAAAACTTTTTGATTTAAGAACCAAACAAAAATTGCAGTCGTCAAGACGTCAAGAGCCAATTTGATGTTGCTTTTTCTTACTTCAAAAGTCCCATTAAAATGATGATCGTAAAACCAGTGCGATTAAAAGTATGATCTATGTCATGATAATGATCGTGATTGAAATTACCTTTATTTTATTTCCATCCTGCATAAAGAGAGTGAACAAAACATCAGTGCTATAAATATTCAACTGAGGCAACAACAAATATATTAATACTAGCATTCCGGCTTTCCAGGTATTCTTGCAATAGCCCTCAAAACGGTGTTTCTAAACAGCTTCTGTCGTTTTATGGAACCGAGCAATGGGTAAATCAATGAATACATAAATAAACCTACCAAGTTATTCAATTCGGCCACGATAAAGCGGAAACCATAGAAATAAAAACAAATTGAGAAATAAATGAACGCTTTGAGAAAAACACCTTCTTGCAAAACACTATAGACGTTATTCGTAAATGCGTTACAGAGAATCTCTAAATGTGTCCCCTCTGAGCGATCAATTTATTGATGAGGGTGGCGTGAATGAAGTGATTTGAGCCCCAGCAGTGCTATATGCCTGAATTACTCCGGGTAAGCTTTAAGCAAAGGAAAAGCCAGGGTAGCCCTTCGTAATCTTAAGCTAAAAAAAAGCATCTCGTAGCTGTCGACGCGATGAAGGTAACTTCTAAAATAAAATAGCGGCCTCGATGCAAGCAATTATGATTATCCGTTTTAGGTGGGCCACCAGAAATGGGTAACGTTTATTCGGCGAAAAGAATAAACCAGTATTTTAACAATCCACATCTCAGACGGGAATAGCTTGGCACTTGTTTATTTTGGGAAACATGTGGAACGTAAGTAAGCGCTGAATATCAACGCTGAAAGGCTGTGAAGGAGGGGTCTTATTCGGACTGGGGCGGGCTCATTGTTTTTCTAAGGCTGACCCATGGATAGTGCGGGGCGCAGTCCACGCAGCTTTTCATCTTCCGGTCTCCGATATCGTCTCCAATCTTCACCTTGCGGTAGTGGCAGGTCTCAGGCCTGGTGCACTTGTCACTTGGCTTGACCTCCGTCAAGCAGCGAGACTCCTTGTAGGAGTTCACGGGTTTGGGGTTCTTCATAAACTCGATGACCTCCTTGAGGGTGACAATGAAGACGTCGTCCTTGGTCAGGAGCCAATCGATGAACTTGAGAAATCCCTCCCTCCTCTCTCCTCCGTGGAGCCATCCTTCGTGCAGGAACATGGGGAACGGAGCCCTATTGTTCTCGTAGAACTCATTGAAGTTAGCCCTGGGTGTTAAGAGAGATGGGAAGGATAAACTGGATTTGGGAACTACGGTGGCTTTCGCAACGTCATCGGTGTCCCATGTGCGGTGGGTTCCAAGGTTTTAAGAAGCTTCGCATGCCCTCACTTAGAGGACGGCAAAATCTGGGTAATTGTCTTTACGAATAAAATCACTGTAGTCAGGTGGGGCGAGACAAGGAAACCTAAATATAATTATTTGGGTGAAATTAACATACCTGTGTTAAGTTCATAGATTTTGATATTTACTTAAGTTTATGTAACAAAGGTGATATTAACCTTTGCAACGAGCAAGTGTTCTTAAATGCGCTTTAGCGCGTCGGAATGCAAAGAGTTGCTCGCCAATCAAAAAACAATATAGCTAACGCGTGGAGGAGCCGCGATGACGAAGCAGCCAAGCTCGCGCCGTAATTGGTTGAGGTCGGGGGGAAACAAATGCACCTGGGCGCTTTCTTTTTTTTTTTTTTTTTTTTGGGGGGGGGGGGGGCCAAACACACAAGGCGCACCAGTAGCAGATGAACTTGCGTGCCGTAGAAAGGGAGGGGGATGGATTAATTATATGGACACGTTCAAATCAGAACTTCAGAGCCAGTATCCCAATTATTGTAAAAACATTTCAAAATTAAATGGAGAACCTACACAGAATAGGATGTAGTATGTGGAACCCCTTTTCCGTGGTGTATGCCAGTACACTCGCGAACAATGTAGGCTGCAAAACCGAATCCGACCTTTTACTGCGTCTGCAAACTCTACAACTTTTCGTTATCTCTAGACCATATGCTTCAAGAACAATTCGTTTTTTAAAGATTCTCTGACGCCCTCAAAAGTCTCTCAGTTCGTGAAGAACTGAAAGTCTAGTGCAGTAGCTCCCTACTGCACTAGATAGGAAACTGGGATATCATGAAGCCTTTCGCTTCAAAAAAGGAGCTTGAAGGAACCATTTAGCGGTTTTTAACGAAGAATCCTTTATGGGAGTGCTTAGAAGAACTGTTTAGGGTGCAAAATATGGAAAAGCCGAAAAGACCAAAGAGTTATTTTACGACCAGATTTTTTTTCGAGTGCTAGATGCTAGAGTTAAACAAATGGAACCCAATCTTCACGATTCATGAAACTGTCTTGCTCAAAGCTTCCTTTTTTGAAAACCGGCTTGCACGACAAAAACGATGATGGCTCATCGCCGCTCATACTGTCCTTGATAATGCACCATGGTGTATGGTGTCAGTGCGTGCACTTGTGGTTTGTCTAGAGGGTGATCATGGCGATAATTGTCGTAGAATCCTCGTTATAACAGGGCTGAACATCATGAAACAGAAAAATATATTCACATTTCAACCACAATCAGAGTTCCAACGTCGCAAAACATCCCCCCCCCCCCCCCATCCTGCCCCGTTCTGCCCCGCCCCGTCCTGCCCCGTACTGCCCCGTACTGCCCCGTACTGCCCCGTCCTGCCCCACCCCGCCCCCCTCAAATCCACCTAGGTCACTTACATGAGGAACTCGTAGGTCTCGTCTGCGGTATCCGGCGGTGGTACGCAGCCACCGATGGTAGAGCAGGGGAAGTACATCTTCAGACCCTCGATGTCGTTTTCCTGGAACCACACGTTCATCGGGACGGTCCACAGGCCGGGGTACTTGTTCTCGGGGCAGGGCGCGATGATGCATTCAGTCTGAAGTCCGTGGTCGAGCGTGTATGGGAACATGGGCTTGCCGCCGTTCTTGACGCGGTTGTGCGGAATGGACGAGTCGTAGAGGAATCCGTTCTCCTTCAGCATCGCGTAGGTATTGTCACCACCGGTCTGCAGGAGCGGTGCCCGCATTCCGACGATGTCTGAAGCTGGGATTGCGGCGTGGTTTGCCAGCAGGTCCCGCTCGCCGACCATCTCAGCCTTCCAACCATCAGTGCCAAGTTTCGACCAATAGTCCGAAGTACCATTGAGTCTGGAAGACGAAACAGGGAAGGTCAACATTGGTTACTCCTAACAATGCTTCTTTTAGATAAATGAGTTCCGACGTTTTGGAACCAAGAGAAGCAATAAACCTGTTGCTAATTTAACCGAGCATTACGAATAATCATAGGAATGAAGGTCTACGAGCCACACGCGCTCGCCATTCCCGTATTAAAGATGTGAAGTAAATAACCAAAATATAGTGTTGACGAACGCGAGTGCAAGATGAATTTTGTTTATGCTTTTGCTTTACAACAGTTTCTACTGTAGACTCCAGCACGTACAGCGCGTGCAACCACACTCGCAGCCTTATTCTCGGTGCAAGCATGGCGCCGTTACTGGTGCCCAAGTAACGTTGCTGGTGCCCCATGTGTGCAAGCGAGTACTGCGTGAGCGTGAGCGTAGCTGTAGCAAGGTTGCATTTGCACGGACTCGCCCCCACGAGCAGAGACTTGGCGGCGGCCTGTCGCCCTGCAAAGCGTTTTTGGCCTTTTTTTTTTTTTTTTTAATTTGCATCGCGTTTGCTCAAACTAGTGTGTGGGGCTTTAGTGACATATTAAAATATATTCAAGAAGAAATGTGATGAATTTTTGAACATAATAGGTTAAAAAAGCTTTAAATTTCGAGCACCCATTTTATTGTTGATGACGTCATTCGTCGGAACCAATAGAGAGTAGAGCTTTCGCTAAATTACCCAAGCATCGAATAGAATCTTGGAAACGTAGGTACTCACGCTGCACGTGCTCGTCTTCCCTATAGAAATGACTTGATGTAAATAACCAAAATAACGCGTACTTGGAAAGCGTGTACGAAATGCCATTTGTTTTAGGATTTTTTTCTTTCGAACAGTTAGAACTGAAAACGCCAGCACGCGCAGCGCGTGTACCTGCGTACCCGGCATTCCTTTTGATGCTTGGGTACTACGGAAAAATGTCTATTGAACCGAGAAGAACGTGCAACATCCATAAACGACGTTCCTAACTCTTCGAATTAACATTCAGTTAGGAGGGTGTGAACGCCCCACCGATTTACGGGTGTCCCAAGCAAAACGCTGAGTGAGAATCGGGCGCTTGAAAGAATCAGAGGGTGAGAATCAGTGCACCTATTCAGCCAGTCCTACCTCTAGATTTTTATGTCGTCATTAACCGACACTCTACAGGAATAAAGCCCCTTGGTATGTTTCCGTTTGTCTTGCAAGTAGCGCCAAATGCGCGAGCGCACGTGGCCCCCTACCTCGAGCGGCCCTTGGAAGCAAATGGCGGCGCAGCACTGAAATGAGCGGCCCTTGGAAGCGAATGGCGGCGGAGCGCCCGCTCGTGCCACGTGTCTCGCGCGTTTCCACAACAATGGTTGGCGGTACTTGTAAAAAATGACTTTATCAAGGGGCTTTATACAGGGATGGTGTCACTGAACGCTCATATTTGACACTAAGGGGCGCGCCCTCGAAGCAGCATTTTGTTTGATTCGTCCACTTTCAGAGCCCTTTTAAAGGGTCCATGAAATTACTTTTTGTGTTGGGATAAATGATTTTAGATTTGTACTTGACAAATCGAATATCGCGTAGTGACCCCCCAAAAAAATGAAGGAAAACAAAAGACTGCTTTTCGGCATGAACATTTGATAACATAGCGGATTTTTAGCCTCGTTTCCTTCGAAAGCACTCCGCCTTTTCACCGTGAAACATACGCAGTACCCAAAGCACGTCAGCGGTACCCAAAGCACGTCAGTCGACTCCAGCTCACGCATTGCACATGAGAACTGCGTCACTTGGCAGTGCACGAGTCAGAAATCGTTCTGTCAACAAATATGTGGCTTCGTGTTCCTGGCCAAAGGGCCCTGACGGAATTTATCATCACATGAGAATGACAAGTTCCATGGTCTCTCTAAAGAGCACGGTGGAAGCTAGGAGTAATCGCAGCTGTGCCCAACCATATCAGACCGCGTGATTCGTCTATTCACTTTGGGGATCACTGGCCGAGTGGGCTAGCGTACACAAACTCGGATCACCGAAGCGAAAGCTCACACTGCAGAACCTAGGGAACCTACAGGTTCAACACCACCCCTGCCCGTTTCGATACGAATGAGCATCAAACCGACAAACACTTTAAAATGGGTATACATCCTACTTCCCGTTAATAGGATGGCCTCGGCGCGGACAGGTTTGGCGCAGTTTGAATGGCTGGATTACCAGCAGCCTTGTGTTTTTCAGCATTGAAACGGGAGTGGTGGGAGGCGCCAACTACTGCCATGAAAGTCGCGGTTATCAGACATTCGCTGCCGGTGGCGATGGACGCGACACAAGCCGTTTGCTAGATGAAATTGTTTGCTCAATGTGTGTCAGGGGAAAAACATGTTTTTTTCCGGTTTGGCGAGACGTCCAAACCTCGACGGTAGTAATTGCTGCATTAGGCGTGGCGTCTAATGCAAATGAGCAGAGTATGGTGTATTCCTCTTAGTAAAGTGTTTGGTACCGGCGTGCGCTCGTGTATAACTGCGTGGCGCACGTTAAAGACTTCAGGCTTGCGTTTGTACCACGCTGGGTAAGTTGCTCATCTACAGCTGAGACACCAGACGCCTGCTAAGGCAGGATAACTTCCGACTGTATAAACTTACACACACCAGTTTTAATTCGCTTTTGAGTTGTGGATTAAAGCTAAGAAGGACCGAGTCAAAAATCATTTTATGGCCCCCATGACCACTTTAAGAACTAATTAGATGCTCCCCTTACTTGCGCGCTCGTTGCTTTCCGCCAGGCTTGGCTTCTCATGCGATAAGGTGTTACCAAAGGCGGGAAGCTCGCGCTCGAAGCGGAGCATATCTATACTCGGCTCTCACCGACCGTTAGCGCCGAGATGGCCAAGATATTTTGGTGGCGCGCTGTAATAGTTGCCCTCCGTTCGTGACGTCACTAACCGGCCGGTTTCGCCTTGCCGTGGCGTAACGAGTTGCGATCCTGGCTACTTATTATCAGTTGCGAACTACAAGTTCCACGCTCGCTGTAAAAAGAACGATGGAAGCTTGGAGGTCTCGCGTTCTTCAACCAACACCGTCAACGTTTTGACTTCCGGCTCCGTCTATGAAAGCAAAATTAATGACACAAAATAGAATATGACGTGCGTTTGACCAATCGGGAATGGAGAGTGCCTCAATGATGTTCGCTGGCTGAGCCTTATCAGAGTGGTGATATCCATTCGGCAGGCAAGTGCTTACTTTTCGGCCGCGAGAACAATTTTGCCTTCTATGATACGTATGTTGGCCTTGTACACCTGAGTCCGGTGGATCAACTTCTGCCCTTAAAAATGATCGAATTAAGAATTACTTTCGAGGACATGATAAATTTTATAAGTATAGAAACTCCTTGCCTCAGCAATACGATGAAGCGTCGTAAAAGCAGTCGTGTGCACGTCATCGCGTTATTATTGCACGTGGTGCCGAAAACAAACCCACTTATACCCATGTTACACGAGCGCACTAACCCGCAGTTAAATCCCCTTTATCTACAGTTACACGTTACCACAATTACCACATTTTATTCTCGGACAGCTGTTTCAGAAGTATTGAAGAGTACGGGTGCACAGTTTGATGGGCGCTCAAGATGCCCAACCGCACATGCCCCCATAGCTCTCATCGCATAGACACATAACGTTGTCCAAAAGTATAGTGCGATGACTTTGGCTTAGCGTAATTGCAGTGAATTGAGTTCATGTAACATGGGTATCAGATATTTTTTTAAGGTTATTCCGAGTCACTTCACAATTGGTAATTCTCTACGACTGCCTTAATAGCTCATAAACGAATACATATAAGTGGGAGACGACAAAAGTGTACCCACTCCAGGAGGGCCACCAGCAGAAACATTGAGGCATTCTATATTGAATACCAACAACAACGACGCGTTTGGTCGCGCATGTCGCCTGCCAATAATTAGAAAAAAAAACTTCTACGTACGTGATGGATCGAAGTCCGATTTCGCTGCCGCTGTTGTGGAGCTCGTGAACAGCGGTGTAGTCGAGGTACTCATGATTCACGAAGAAGGTGGCTCCGATCTTGCATCCGCTCTTTTTGTTCTTCCTCTTCTGGGTGCCGTCTAGAAGTTCGCGGTAGAACGGCATGTTTCCCTCGTGGATGGCGCCGTCGAAAGAGAGCATGACCAACTGCGGTGTCTCCTGGACGTTCATCTTGTTGGGCGGGTCGGTGCTGGCACACACGCAGTTTCCGCTCGCCTTGCACTTGTCCGGGTCGCAATTGTCCTCCGGGGTGGGGTTAGCCAGCACGGCGACCAGAAAGAATGGCATAAGAAGTAGTGCCCTCATGGTGCTGTCTCAAGGAACGAAGCCTACAAAGCATAAAGGATGGGATTGAACATTCACAAATCGAAACCCCAGCAAGCCTTATTGCCAGCAGCTATGCCGTAGGCACGAAGCGTCTAACTCGAACTGAGTTCTCTGATGCAGACACGAGCTGAGTTCACGCCGAACGCTGAGGCTGTTCTCGGGTCAAATCAGGCACCGGTCTAATCCGTGCTCACGGCCGAAATCATAAATGCTGCTAGACTCGAAACTGCGCTCAAGACTCCCATTAAGAACGGTTTAACGCTGCATAGCTCGAACTCGCCTTGGAGCTCCACTTGACTGAGGAAATACTCAAAAATTTTCTCCAAAATCTCCAGACAGCTTCGGAGCTATCTCAAGATTTTCCCTCGAGACTTGAGGTGGTTTCTGGGTGTTACGGCGGGTGACACATTGTTTACCGAGTTGGCCATTTTTGTCCTCGGAACCGGTAGTCTCCTGCACCACGGCGAAGACGAGAACCTTCCTGTGTTACGGCGTCCTTTTAGAAACTTGCTGAACGAACGTATGTGTTCAACGACTACGAACTTTTCGCGCTCAACTGCTTTACGAAAGCGACGGGGGCCAGTCTACCACTGACTCTGTCGCTCGAGAAGTGCAGGAACAGTTGCGGTCTGCCGGTGTTTTCGATTCTTCCGTTGTTGAACGAGCTGCAGTTTTACGGTCCAGGGACTTTCAGGTGCACGGTAACCGGCGACTTTGTAAATGTGTCGCAATTAACAGAGTACGAGGTCACTGGGCCAGTGCCGTGTCTCATCGCCAGCACTGGCTAGCACCATGTGCCTCCTGCTTGTCGATTTCCAGTTGCGGACATGGACATTATGATGTGAGACTTTCATGAAAACTACTCATGCAGAAAAATTTATTCTTCGACACTGTATAAGCGAAACGTGCTGAAGTCTTTAATTCGCTTATCTGCTAAAGATCTATCCAAACAGTACCGTTTTACCATTTGGCTACCGTGTGCAAGACTAACGGTTGTACCAGTGAAGCATCAATAAACGCATTTTCAGTCAAGGTTATTAGAGCTTCCGTGTAGCAAAGATTGCGAGACATGATGACATCCCTGCTTCAGAAATGGCAACCAATTAAATGAGTAGCTCTCGTCAACCAATTAAGTGAGGCCCTTGTCAGAAGGTAGCAGATCATCAGTAATTGAACCAGATTTCGCAGCTATTTCACTAAGCGGGAAATTTCTGTGTTTCATGTTCTGAAAATGTAGAGAAAACTTTTGAGTCAATTCGACACCCAAAATTTTGTGATTTTCTGTAGACTTCTTCTTTGAGGAACGAGTTTGATACGCTATCAGAAACACATTTAGTGAGATTACTTTTTACGCATACTCCCGCAGAGGGTTACAGCTGACTCTTAGGTGAGGTTCGTTTGAACGGTGCCCTTCCATCCAAATATTTACGCCGATCGCCCAATCCGAAGCCCTTTCTCAGTTGGCTTTGCAACTTGAGATATGTAGAATATCTGGTGATAAGAAAAAAAAAACAAAAAAACTTTGGGTACTAACCGGGCGTGTGACGACGGCGATGCTGACTTCAGCAGCTGTTGGAGCTCCTCGTAGAGGTGACAAGGTTGTGAGGAACGCTCTTTGAGGGGCCTAGATTTATACGCTATTTCAAGTGAGTGGCGGCATGATGAACCCGGAATTAATGGCTAAGATTATTGCATTCGTTACAAGGCAGCGTTGCAAGACGCCCAATGACGTCGGCAACACCCGTTATCTATCGATACTCGAAGGTGAACACGTGTTATGATCGACCCAACACATTCCGGCGCGATAAGGTTTTCTGCTAACCCAGATACCAAAGAAGGCGTTCATGTAATCATTTATTAGCGCGTTATATTCGAAGAGTGTTAAAATCGCGAGAATTTAATCCTATATATCTTACGGGAAGCCAAGGCATCTGGCAGCGTATAGAGCTTACCGTCGATTATCACGGGCTGTGAAATAATGAGAGGCATAGATAATCACGCTGAGAGGTCCACTGCCCATGCTCAGAAAGTGTTTCACAACCCCGTGGACAAGAATGGCGAAGTGCAGAGGATGGTCTTTATTTTTTGTTCCAGTTTCAGTGAAAAAAAAAAAAAAAAAAACGAGACATTTTTTACGCGAAGACATAATTTCACCTTTGCAGTGTCTTTTGGAATGAAGCTGGTTTCTTTTTTTTTTTTTCTCATGTAATGGTTTTTAACTGTTTGAACTTTAAGCGAATCCATAAGTTGACATGATGGAGCATCCCACATCTAACCTATCAAAACAATATAGGTTGAGTAGTTTCTTTTTGATCTTATTGCGTTAAAAAAGTGCCTCTTGATTTAAAACGTTCAGGCAAACTAAAAATCGTGTTGAATAAAAAATAAAAAATATGGTGCATTTTTAATAATTTTTTTCTCTAAATTTTGTTTACATAGACAAGCAGTGAACAAAAGAGGTGCAAAGTATTGAACGCAAACATTTGAGAATCATCGTAGTTAGTTTTTTTTTTTTTTTTATATGACAGTTTCGGTGCTTACTTGACGGTGTAGTCAACACTATTGCCCCAAATTCGTGAGCATATTGCACCCCAAACTTTATTTAGTTAACAATCCCACCAATCCTATAATGGGATTATAATAGAAATCGGGATACAATAAAATGTTAAATTTGAGATGTTTGAACGAGGATGCAAACGGCCCGTCACAATGTCTTAAATAGTAAACTACGCTCAAACCAATGAATTGCCGAAAAAAACGATATTCAAATAAGTGAATGACACATGAAACTAGTGTTAATCAAAAAGTGCAAAGAGCCTATTCCAGTTTCTTATAAAACAAGGAAAAACATTAACCTAAATATTTTCGTGAAGTGGCAAACAATTTGAGGTATCCTAATTTTTGTCCATCATAAATGGTCAAAAAAAGGCCTGCTCCCCTCGGAGGCCCTGTGTGGGAATCGGTACCTTGTAATGTTTGGTGAACCAAACAAATGACTTATTTTTAAACACTTTTGATAACACCTATGTTTCTTTTAGAGCGCAGTTCTTAGGCGCCCGTTTCGAGGTTGAGCAACGTCGGCGTAACGTCACGTGACGTCACGCGTGACGTCATGTGTGACGTCACGAGTGTCAAATTTTTCCGCTAAATTTTGAGGGGAATTTTTCCGCTAAATCTAGAGGGAAAAGTTTTCCGCCAAATTTAGCGGAAAAATTGACGTGTAACGTCACGTGTGACGTCATTATTGGAAACGTCCCATAACGCAACGCGCAGTTACGCCGACGCCGACATCGACGCCGCTCAACCCAGAAACGGGAACCTAAAAAAATATCCTGCCCTCCTCCTCCTCCTCAAGAGCTGCGCTCTAGTTCGGAATTACAGGGAGTTGTAATCGTCTTTAACATTAAAAAAAAACATCTATATTAGCATAACGTTTGCGTCGTGTACGAGGTTTTATATGCAAAGAACTTGAGCTCACAAATCACACATTTAAAGCTCTCGTAAAATAACTTTTTTTATGGGCTTAGCTACATTTAAAGGCCCGATCACACACTTGCAACCCAGTACGACCGATTGAAACAAGGCCGATTTTTAGGCCTCTTGCGACTGCTTAGGACCGGATACGCTGACTTGGAGCAGCTCCTAAGCAGTCGCAAAAGGCTTAAAAACCGGTTTTGTTCTCAGCCGATCCTTCTCGGCTGTAAGAAAAGACGCTATCACAATATGTTGATTAGCTCTAAGCAGGTTTATACGATTAAGACTTCCTTAGATTCCAAAAGTGATACCTTTTGCCTTTTCCGACAAACATATGAAGAAAAAGTGAGTCTACATTAAGCGAGCGCCATTTTCCAGTCATTACGCTAGCCGCTAACCCTTTTTAGATATAATTCCGTAATATATGATCATCGGTGACTAGTATAACCTCCCGGTGATATACACACTATGAATATCATTAGCAATGCAATTGATGAGAAAGAAAGGGCGCTAAAACGTAACTCCAATTCTAGACATTCACATCTTAACAAACGCAGCGTGAGCGAGTACCGTGTATTTTATTATCGCGCCACGCGTAGCCTTTGATTTGTTTTATTATATGTTTTCACTCGCAATACATTTCGGGTTGTTCGCAAGGTTTGACGCACTAAACGGGTTGAAAGGACATTTAAAACATACAAAAGAAATGCTTTCATCTATTTTTTTACGGTTAGTTCGTGGAGATGCTCAATTAGGTTCATAACTGTTTGGCAGTTGTCTAAAGTTGTGCTTATCCGTGTATATGATACTGTGTTTCTCACTAAATGTTGTCACAAATTTACGAGTAATGTATTCGAGGAGTTTGCAGCATGTACGCGTAATACGTTCAAGCAATTTTAAGATAGCAAAGTTGTCGCCAAATTTGTGGAAAAAACAAAACAAAACAAACTAATGCATTTTTCTATTCATTCGGCGCCAAAGAAAGGCACAGACCCTCGTTGAAAATAAGGACTAAGTGGTTGTTAATTTTTACAGCATACATTTTCGCTCATAAAGGCGATTTCATGAGGATCTTTATTATTTTTTATATCTCATTCCAGTATAAGCGCAAAACGAACGTGTTCGGGAGCTATTAGGTTTCCAAATGCCTCGACAGTGTTGCTATTAGGGTGTGCATTTAATCTTTTGTTCCAATTATCAGCTGCAAAGTTGAATTTATATCTCCTAATTTTGCTGTAGGGTCCTTAAAGTGGATCTTTTTATGTTCTATTTATATAGTTTGAGAAGGTATGGGTGAGGATTGATATATTCGTGGATAGCGCGGTCATAGCGCTCTTGCTAAAAAAAAAAACTTTTTATTTCTTAATTTGAAGTGTCGTAAGTGATCTGAATGTTTTGTTGTTACTTTCTGATGTTAGGAGTGCCTTTTAGACGACTTTCTTGGCTCTTTCAGGCTACGTTTCAAATCGATAATCTCAGGAGTGTTGTGCCTCTTGGTCAACGATGAGAATTTTGTAACTGCACGTTTGTTCTGTGACTCACAGGATGCAGTGAGTTTTGCATTCGACTACGTTATTGTCGGCGCATTTTATCTCTTCCGCTGCTTCGAAATAAACGGGGCTCACATTTACGTCTTAGAACGCAAAACTCGGCAAGTATGACTTTCGACAATGTCATTCCTAGTTTCTCCAATAAATTGCGAAGACAATTTTGCTAATAAATATTACTCTGTTTGAAGGTTTGGTTAACAAGCTTTCTCTTGTCTTACGGTAGCGTGATAAATATTAACTCTGAATTTTTTTTTTATAGTAACAAGTGACGGATGATGAAAGTTGTCACAATATTTCTGAAATCTTCAGGAACTCTTGAGCTTTTGGAGCCCTTGTTAGTAAACCGTGACACACACAAAAAAAAAAAAAAAAAACATCTCATGAAACCTAAGGTAAAATATCTCGTTACTCCAAGCAACTGAAAGCGTTAACTTAGTCCACATTTTCAACGAGAGTCTGAGCGTTTCTTTGGCGCCGGCTGAATACAAAAATGCATTTTTTTCCAGAAATTTGGTGACAATTTTGCTATCTTAAAAGTGCATGAACGTATTGCGTGTACATGCTGCAAACTCCTCGAATACATCACTTCTAAATTCGTGAAAATATTTAGTGAGAAACACAGTATCATGTACACGGATAAGCACAACTTTAGACAACTGCCAAAACAGTTATGAACCTAATCGAACTCCTCCACGAACTAACCGTAAAAGAGAAATGAATGCATTTTTTTGCATATCTTTAATGTCATTTCCACCCGTTTCATGCGTCAAACCTTACGAACACACCGAAATGTATCGCGAGTGAAAACCGAGGATAAAAACAACCGCATCTTCACGTGGTGAATCATGTTGATTGGGGCAAAGCTTTGGTGGTGCTTGTCTTCGTAGACGCCGAGCCGCAGCATGCCGAGCCTTTCGTTCGTTTTCATCCTTGTCACGCTGCGGTCAACTGCTCAAATGCGCATATAACCACGTTCCATACCACACATTCTCTTTCTGACATGGATGAAAACGAACGAAAGGCTCGGCACGCTGTGGCTCACCGTCTACGCAGACAAGCACCACCAAAGCTTCGCCCCAATCAACATCATTCACCACGTGAAAATTCGGTTTTTTTTTTTGTTTTTTTTTTCCCTACTCGAGCACGGGAGCACGTGCTTACGTGCTCGTGAGCACCAGCATCCGACGCCGGACGTCGGACGGACATACGGTAATAAAATACGCGGTACTCGCCCACGCTGCGTTTGTGTTAAGATGTCAATGTCTAGAATTCCTTCTCATCAATTACATTGCTAATAATATTCATAGTGTGTTTATCACCGGGAAGGTATACTAGTCACCGATCATCATATATGAGGAATAATCTCTAAAAAGGGTTAGCGACTAGCGTAATGACGGGCAAATTGCGCTCGGTTAACGTAGACTAACCTTTTTTTCTATATGTTTGTCGGAAAAGGCAAAAGGGTATCACTTTTGGTATCCCAGGAAGTCTTAATCCTATAAACCTGCTTAGAGTCAATCAATATATTGTGATAGCGTCTTTTCTTGCAACCGAGAAGGACCGGCTGAGAAAAAACCGGTTTTTAAGCCTCTTGTGACTGCTT